TTTTTTTTTCTTATTGAGTAGTATTTTATTGTACAGGAGCCACGCCCTGGTTTCTTAAAGGCGCCTTGCCCTCTGTTTGGCCATGTGTTATTTCTGCAGCTGGTGTGTGGGAGGCCTCCTGTGAGCCACCTATTTTTTCCTGCCTCCTGATACATACTCCTACCCCCATCAAGGATTCGGGGATGCCAGGGGGGAAGAAGGTGGTCGGGGGTGGCAGCAGCGGTGCTGTCCCCACTGCCGCTGCAGCCCCCTCTGGGGTCAGACGCCTGGAGACCAGTGAAGGGGCCTCAGCCCAGAGAGATGATGAGCCAGAGGAGGAAGGGGAAGAGGACCTGCGAGACGGAGGCGTCCCCTTCTTTGTCAACCGGGGTGGGCTGCCTGTGGACGAAGCCACCTGGGAAAGGATGTGGAAGCACGTGGCCAAGATCCACCCCGATGGAGAGAAGGTGGCCCAGCGGATCCGAGGGGCCACAGACCTGCCCAAAGTAAGCATTGTGTACGTGTGTTGGGGGGAGTGGTATATCAGTTTTTAGCGATCTTGGGGCTGAGAGAGCCAAATCACACTTTTCCTTGGTGGGGTAGGGGACCACTGGCATAGTAGCACTTGAAAAATACAAATAGGTTGTGCCTGTCCAGAAGAACTTTCTCTCAACTGCCTTTGAGGTTCTGTGAGATCCACATGCCCTGTTTCCAGGAGGCTTTCTTCCATCCCTTTTTTTTTTTTTTTTTTACTTTTAAAAAGTAGTTATTTATTGAGAGAGCATGAGCAAGGGGGGGCGGGCATAGAGAGAGGGAGAGAGAGAATCCCAAGCAGCCTCCATGCTGTCAGTGCAGAGATGACACAGGGCTCGATCTCACAAACTGTGAGATCATGACCTGAGCCAAAATCCAGAGTCAGACACTTAACCGACTGAGCCACCCAGGCGCCTCTTCCATCCCTTTTTAAATACCCATGTTTTGTGGGCAGGGCAGCAGATTAACAAGTACACTAATGTGGCTTTACATCTTATTTGCTAAGCCGGTGAACTGTGGGCAGGCACGTAATAAATGACTAGGAGGACACAGGGCTTCAGATGTTGAGAAAATATTTTCATGCCCTATCCCACTGAGTTCTCCAACAGCCTTGTGAAACAAGTGTGGTTTGGGGCCCCATTTTACAGACGGAAAAACTGAAAACTCAGGATCCCACAGCTAGTAAGTGGCAGAGCCAGGACTCAGCCTCAGGTTTTGAAGTTCCATGCCCTCTGCTCTGCTGGACGCTAGATTCAGGGCAGTTAGAAAAAGGTCTCTGGAAACAAGTGAAGTGAGATAACCTTTCGGTAGAGGGCTGGCTCCATGATGGCTGCCCTTCAGTTGCATCACCCATGAAGACTGAGGCTGTGTCTCATTCATCTTTGTCTTTCCAGGGCTTTCTGTGTGGCTGGCACAACACAGGCACTTGCGTGTGTTTGCCGAATGAAAGAGTGCTTGAGACTTTCAGGTGCACGATTTTTGGTTTTATAATATTACGGTTAAGACTAAAGAAACACTCTCAGGTGCAGAGACCTGAAATGTCCAAAGAAAAGCCCTTTGGGCAAAGGTCAGAGCCCAGCGCTTAGTCGTGCCGGCTCAGTTGGAAAGGAAGGGGGCTCGGGAGAGTGGCAGTTAATGTGGAGTAGACATGGAGATGGCCTGTTTTGTTTCATTTCTACCAAGTTATCGGTAGAGCCATCAGAAATTGTCTTCTTGGAAAAGAGAATTCAGAGGTTGAAGGCTGAACAACAGCCCAGTATTTCCGAGGGAAATAAGATGGCTATGTAATTGTCCTATGTATAAACTTGAAATTTATTGAGCTAGTCCCCCATGATTGGACATGGTGTCTAATATTTTATTCTTAAGATGAACACTGCGGTGAAAATTCTAAAACATAAATTTGGGGGTCCATCCTTGGTTATTTCCTTGGGATAAATTCCTGGGAAGGAAGCACTGTGCCAAAGAATATGGATGTTGGTTTTGATCGCCCACCTGTCTGTGTGAACTCAAGCAGGCCCTCAGCCCATTGGAGCCAGTTTTCTCATCTGTACAATGGAGGGGATTGTGGTCAAAGTTAAATGAGAGACTATGCGTTAAAGCATTTCACCAACGGTAAAGTCTCAAGCCAGTAGTTGTTACTGGATGTCCATTCCCTCTTTTTTCAAATCTTTCCTCAGGAAGCCGGGAGGCTAGACTTCACTCGGCATCTGTAGCCCTAGGGCCAGAGCCACACGCCTCTCCCACAGCAGCAAGCTGGTGATTAGCAGACAGCTCTCCCGCCACCTTGCTTATATTTAAATCAGGCTGTGCAAGAGTGTGAAGGGTTCCCTGCAAAACTGTTACCACTCCTGAAGACTAAAATAAGTCAACGGATTCATGAGCCACCGGTCTGTAATGTCCTCTTGTCATCTTTAGCCACCACATATAGGAAAGACACCCGTGAAGAAATGAAGCCAGTATCTGGGTGGTGGGGGTTTGGAGATGCCAAGACTGACAGGAGTGTGGTGGGAGTGGAAGGAGTCTTGAGTCTTTAGAAAAATTCTAAACTGACCGTCAAACCACGGGACTGATGTCACAGGCAGGGGACCTACATGTCTGTACGAGGTTCCTTTTGGACCTCAGCCCAGAGTAGAAAAGTGGAGTCTGGGAGGCACCGGTGGCTGGATCCCAGAGTGTCAGTGGCAGACAGGACGACCACTAGGCTGGCCCCTCCCCGCGTGGCCATGCCCTTGGCATTCTCTGCAAAGGTCACATCATAGTGGGCCCAAGAGCTGTTTTGTTGGGAGAGCGTCATGTTTTAAAAGATCACTCGAGCCAAAATGTATAATTGGGAGATTTCACATAAAGATCCAGATTTTGGGCATCTTTTCAGAAAATGAGAAGATCTGGGAACAGAATCTATGATCCCACATAGCAGCTGGCAGCTGGAGCTGAGGAGGGGTCCCCCCTCCTCCAATTGGCCACAGTCCCCACCACCGCCTCGCCGCCTGCCTTCCCCTGTGTGCTGCTTGCCCCTGCCCCTGCCCCTGCGGGCAGTTCAGTCTGGGAGCCCTGCAGTGTCGTGTGATAAAAAGAGCTTGGCAGAAAAATCCAACACATTCAAATCCTAGTTCTCGCATAGCTGTTTTTGTGAGGAAGGCATGTGACCTCCTTGTGCCTCAGTTTCCTCGGCTGTAAAATGGGGATAATAGCAATACCGATGTCTGAGGGACTTGGGGAGGAGTTGATGAAGCCAAGCACGTGAAACAGGTGAGCATGTCATGAGTACCCAGCCAATGGAGCAAGGACTGAGGGTGCAGCGGTCACCCCACAGGTGCTTTAGGGGAACATCCTTTAAGAGGATGATCCAGTTTGTTGAAGGACAGCCATTTCTAAAAGGATCTCAGGTCCAGGAATAGTTTGTGTTCTTTCATAAGAATCTCTCCTTGATGTTCCAAGCTGTCACCACCTTTAAAAGCTCAGTGGCCACTCATCCCAGACCCAGCTGCTGAAGGTCTTCTGACTGTGGCTCTGGCCACGGAGCTCCTGCAGAATGGGAATTTGGACACCTCCTCCAAAAAGGTAACCCTGCCGGCGGCCTCGGCCTGTGCTGACCAATCGCTTTGGCACACACTGTAACGACACCGAGCAGGAATTGAGCCTTCGCTGCGCGCCAGCCCCTGTTCTAAGGCCTCAGCACATAGCATCTCATTTATGCTATGAAATTGTTTCTCTTATGCTGCCCATTTCACAAACGAGGCATCTGAGGCACAGAGGGATGTTAAGGAACTAGATGCCAGACAGTGGATGGCAGAGCTGGGATTTGGATAGTGATGGTCTGGTTCCAGAGCCGGCTCTATCGACCTCCAGGCTGTCCTGCCTCTTGCCCCCACATCCATCTGCGGGCTGTTGCACCTCCCCCAAGCATTCTCATTGCGCAGGGCTGACACGGCCTCCACCAGAAAGACTGTCTTATAGAATCCAGGACTTTAGGGATAATCCTTGGCCTTGGTAGTGGGGAAGGAGTTGTCCCCGGAGAGATCTGGGTAGTAGATCTCACTCACTGCCACGTAGCCCACTTAACCCCACCTGGCTCCCGGTTTGTAGGTGGGGGCCGGGGGGGGGGGTGCAAATCCGGGCTCCCAGTCCTAAAGCGGACCTGGCCGTTTTGGATGTACAGAATCCTGCTTATTCGTTTTGAGCGAATGAGTGTGTGCGTGAACATTCAGAAGGATGGGGTCTTGCACTGATGCACACAAGTTAA